GGCAAATCCATGTTCCAATCCATGTAACTAATGTCGCGGTTTGTTGTAATGTTTTATCAGGATAAGATTGGAGATATTATTTACGAGTTAGACCAACATATATTTTTATTTACTTTGCTAATAAATTTACCTACATCTAGGCACAATAACAATTTATATGAATAAAAATGAATCGCGAAATATGTTGCTAAGCGCAAAACTTGAATACGGTTGCGAACGGTTGACGGTGTTTGAACTCTGAGGAGAGTTTTTATGGAGAGAAAATTTGGACAAATATTTAAAAAAAATGAAAAATTTAGTTTTATTTACTAAATATTTCAATTTAGATTCGTAAAGAATTTAGATATTTCATTTTAGGTTTCAGAAAAGCGTGAAAACGTTCTACATAGCTGCTATTAAAAAGGTAGGCTAAGTAAAAACATCATGATAAGGCGAAACAAAATTCGCGCGGGCAGCTTGTTTATAAGATCGTCAAAATTTATTCAAAATAAATATACTGGAACAACATCAATGACTTCGATAAGTACGTAATAAAAACATAATAAGGGCAATTAAATAAAAATAAACATTCCCCTTAAGATGCAATCTTTGATGCCACCTCATTTACGAACGTCATATTAGGTTCCAAATCAATTTAGATTAACATCTTAACGAGTAGGTGTCAGTAATTTAAAATACTAACACCAAAGCTCGTAGCCAAAATAAACGTTTAAACAAAAATCCACGTCATTGAAGGATATGCAATAGTATACGTCTGGTAATCGATAATAGATGTTTAGAATTCATAAACCTATCATGTATAGTGTTTATAATTTTTTATTTCGGCTCTTTAAGAAAGCCAGTGGCGCTATATCAATTTAAGTGTGGGGCATCTGATTTCTGTATCTGTTTCGGGATCAATTGTTTCTGCTCATAGGTAAGCTAACCTTACATATCATCAAAAGGCATGCTAACTGACATCACTGGAATCGTAACTGCGCCTAACTGCGTATATACGTAGAACGCTGGCTACCGGCGCCGATCCGCCAGCGATTATCGGAGCTGGTTGGCTCAGATAACTGCAACATAAAGAAAGCAGGCTGAAGCTGACTAACAGTCTCTCTGAGTAGCATGCAAAATCTCGATCTCATCTGACGAAGATTTTTGTGTAAGAAAATGTGTTTACGCCTTTACACGCCGTTAACTTTTTGGGTCTAAAGCATACAGGTTTTGTTCATGTTTTCACCGTACGAGCAAGTGTTTAATACGGACATAGACAGAAAGTCGATTGGTCCACAGCGATGAGTCAGTCACACGCTGAAGCCACTGGACAAACATTGCCAAACTGATAGGAAAGCTTAAGGGACAAAATAGTAATGTTATATCGTTGTTTATCTAATTATAATTGTCAAACTATTTAGTTCTAATAATATTTATAAAGTATAAAATGTAAGATAATTATGATTGATAACAGTATATAATATTACTGTCTGGTTGTGTAGTGATATAAATAAAACTTATGGTATAGTAGGTACTATATACGATATGGCTAATCGCGTATACTTAAAATAATTTTACGAACGAGGTATAATGTAGGTCAATCATATTAATAGGTATATTCTTCCTTATGTATGAACATACTGCTTATCCACAACTATTTTTGTATTTTCTATCACATCCTATAGATCGCATAACAAAGCAGACCGCGCGTCGCTAAAGGGTCTCTTTAGGGACTTATTTTTTCCTCAATTGTACGACAAAACGATGAATGAACATTTCGTTGAATGAAATTCCAACGTTACTTAGCGCCTGGACATAAAAAAATTGAATAGACTTCCTTTTCTCATAGTATTCCCAAACAACCGTAAAATGTATCTTAGTTAAACTATTTGGTGTGATTTAAGCCGGCCGTAACAATAAATAGTATTTAAGATATTAAAAGTTTTAGGTGGTCCTTATACTACCAAAAACGCCTACTGTTTTCATTTCCGCTAGCGGTTTCATTGTGTATGATACAATTTTAGGTATTTTTAATGTTATGTTTAAAAAAAATTGTAATATACATTAGAATTGGTTGGTCTAAAAGCTGGAACAAACAAATATTTGAATTATGAACTTAATTGGATAAAACTTTGCTTTATTAGGTCTATCTTTGAATTACGGTTTCCAAAGAATAGCTGACGATTACCTAGTATTGTCTTTGATTAACATAACTTTTATTCATTTAATAAAACACTATTTTGACCGGATTGGACGGTGTCACCGTGACCACGCACGCTGTAAAGCACGCGAAACGTCGGATAAATTTAAAATTATGTTAAATAGTTGTAAATTTATAATAATACATAACTTCAATGACGATTACCTACATAAAACAATAAATATTAATTAAAGAAACTGTTATCTACCAACGTATTAGGCGAAACCATTTCGTTAAATAGTTTGTAAAATTACGATTAAAATCATATTCTAATTTCGAACCTTGGAGAGTATATTATAGACCAATGTTACGGAAGCAATAAAAGCTATCTAGCTGAAAATGAATCATCAATATATGAGCATAGAAGAATCGCACGTGTTAAATTGAAATACTCTGTTTGGGTATTATCAATACGTTTGGATGTGGTCCAGTTTCATATAGATGCATTTAAATGTTCGACTATAAACGTTTTATTGACACGCTATGGGATTATATATAGGAAATATCTGCATAATTTTTTTGTTGGAATGATGAACTTTATAGAACAATACCACCACTATGTGGTACCAGCTACCCACTGAAGTATTTCCGAACAAACTCGATTTAGGGTCCTTCAAGAAAAGAGCGTACCAATTCTTAAAAGGCCGGCAAGGCATACGCGACCCCTCTGCCATAGAGTGTCCATGGGCGGCGGAAACGAACAGAACCTTCCTAAAGCATTGTGGACTGAGTTAAAAAGTGAATGAAGCATGAAATTTTTTTCACCACAGCGAAAAGAACTTGTGGATGATGAAATAAATACTTTTAATGAATTAAGGATCTTACAAACCACGTTTGTACTCAGGACTCGGATCGGTTTTAGGATTTAAAATAATAATAACCGATAATAATATCATACAAATATACAGAACTTCGTCATTTGTAATCCGAGCAACGTGTTTTCATTCACATTACTATGTATTTTCTTTAAATGTATCGCTATGTCAACTATATATCCGTTATAGTTAAATTAAATGTAGAAATAAATTTATGTTGTTAATAGGGCTGTTTGTTAATGAGCCATAAAAAACCTCTCTAAATGTCTACTAGCCTAAATAGTCAATATTATTTGTAAGGTGCTTGACCGGAAGTCATCGGTAAGAATTACCCACTTAGAAGGAATATGTATCTATATATGTACTCGTATGTATGTATAAAAGTCTACGTATTGTAACAAAAAATTCACATAGGTAGTAATTCTTGTTTGGGATAGTTAAAAATGCAATAGCATAACACCCACGCCTGCGCCTACGTTTCGCGGAAGGCTCGGATGCAAGTTTCTATAGCGATACTCTATGGTCTTGTCTATGCCCATTCACAATTGTGCCGGTGGGAAGCGCAAATGGGCGGATATTTGAAGATGATCGATGAAACGTTCACAAAACCTCATTTAATGTTTACCGTCCTCGCGGACAAGGAGATTCTGATTTTAAAACAATTGTGGCAAAAAGGCATAAATTACCTCCTTTTCTACACAACATTAAGCGAAATTAGGGGGTGACATTTCATAAAACTTTTGACCAGGGGCTATAAACAGAAATGGCTTACTACTTATTGCCAATCAAAATCGTAACATGGTCACTTGACGTCAGAGAAGGTCAAAATATTTGTTTAAGAAATCTTAGTCAACCTAGGTACCTCTAGGGCGCTTTCATAAAAATATCTCAGTCTCTAGTGTTTCGTTGACAGATGTGCGTTAGGAAAATACTTAATTATTTATTAATAAAATTAATGACACACCGATGAAGCCGATTAACAAACAAATCATCTGTCAGATATCAATAATACTAACATTTTTATTTATATAGTTAAAACTTTATATCAAGAAGGTTTTATTTAATTTATCGTCTCTTTAATTGATTATATATTTAAAAAAAACATTTTAAAATAATCTATTAAGAGAAATTACGTTCATAAGTTTCGAAAGGTTTTTAAGATTGCTACAAGGCCTGAGTAAAAATGATCTTAAAAGAGCGATACAAAATTTCTCCTATAGCAGAAAGCTTGTATAAAAAAATCAGGTTTTACCTATAGAATCACACTGACTTTAGCGAATCTATTGTAAGGCAGCATCTGTGGCGGCGCCTGGGACTTGCGCCGGCGCCGAACGGATAGGTGAGAAAATATCGCCGAATATTTTGTCTCAAACAGATCCTCTTCTCTTACACTATGTCGTGCCAATGTGTGTGTTTACTCTGTGAGGCTTCATAAATATATTTGTTATCTATAATATATGTTATAATATCGTTCATATTTCTGTCACTAGAAATGTGTTAAAAACTATACGAAATTGTAGTTATTCAAACAAAGTAATAAATAATTAAATTTCAATAAACAGTTGCATAACTACAGAATAATCTTTTAGTTAATATGGCTTGTGCGAATTTTATTTTACTTAAAAAAAAAATACTAAGTAAGATAAAAGGAAAAAATCATCTGACATTGATTTATAGAGGACATAGCGATTAGGTTAATAACAGTTAACTTAATAATAAAGCTTGTTACAATCGTCTCTGTTGTCTTAGAAGCTTCAGACAATAAGGGAATTATCTATTGTAAGATGCAGGTAATCAAGTAAGTCGAAACACGTGCGTAGTGTCGCATCTGTAAATATGTCTGATAGTAACGGTTCTATGATATGGAGGCGCGGTGTGTGAGTCATCTTGTTCATTGAGCAGTGGTCCATTGAGGGGCGCTCGCGCTCATTACTGTTCCGCCGGCCGGCCCTGCGCACGCAACTCGCGCTCCTAACGCGAACAAATACACCGACGCACTACCTACGATGTTGCCTCTCATCTCTCGTTACAACGTAAGTTAAACCCACAACTTCCTCTCGAAGCCTATTATACAGGTTTTTAAATAGCACAGGCCATATTTACATTTCGTAATTCATTTTATTGCAGGAGATGGTTTCGAAGTCGTGTATCTGGCTCGTCGCAGCGGCTCTTTTAGCCGCTTGCGGCGTAAGTGCAGGCGTAGGAAGTAAGCGGCCCTTCACACCGACTGATTCGATTTTGGATATAATCGACACCGAACAAGTCGAAAGAATGCTAGCGGCTCGACGACGAACGGAAGAAGCCACCGGATCTTCCGCTTCCTACGTTCAAAGAAATGAACTCGGCGAAGGAAGTTCGGAGACTATGGTGGTCTCAATGCCGGATCAAGAAGAGGCTACCGAAATACCCAAAGGCGCTGCGTTTCGAAATATTTTGAAGTCATCAAAAAACGCACTCACCGTCACTAAAAAAGAGTATCTCAAGGAAGATTGGTGCAAAACGGAACAATTAATACAAAAAATCCGTGAACCGGGTTGTTTGCAAGCGACAGTGATAAATAATTTCTGTTATGGACAGTGCAATTCGTTTTACATTCCGAAGAGTCCGCGGCGCCGGGAGAGCAACGACGAGCGCCCTCCGCCCGCATTCAAGTCTTGCTCATTTTGTAAGCCGAAAAAGTTTACTTGGATCACTGTCACGCTTCGTTGTCCAAGTCAGAACCCACCATATAAACGAAAGCGTTTACAAAAGATCAAACAGTGCAAGTGTCTACCGGTCGGCGTGAACTGATAGATGCAGTGTACGTCAGACCCTCCACAACAGAGGCGGCCCATCCGTCCAGTCCAACGTCTCAGGTGCGCCAAGCACACGAGGACATCTGAAAGGAGTTAATAGGAATCGATACACAAATATGACGGTGACGTGTGGAATAATGATATTATTACCTGATGCTTTGATAAGTAATTACCGCTCGTTTAACGAGTAGGAACCGGCAAGCGGTAGGCATACAGGCCGGCATAAGCATTCTATTCGCGAGCTCACATACGTCAACAGGGATGACGTCATGTGATGCTTATATTAGGCGATAAATTTTGTAATACTGTGATTGCAAGTTGTCAAGCAGTTTTAATTGTCTTTAGTGATACAGTTTAATTGGACACTACAATACATGTGACCTTGTAAATGTTTGACAGCAATTAATAAGTGCAAACGAACAGTGGAAATCTGTGTTCATTGCGTTAATAGGATGGAAACTATAACGTATAAAGAGTAATTACTTTTAATTTATCATGTGATATTAGTAGTAGGATATAAAAAGTGAAAATGGGACGCTGATTCTATTTCAAGCAAGGCAAGTTTCGATTTATAACTTGGTTGAATAGAAGTTAAATTACTTACTGGAAATATAAACATTAATTAAATTTTTGATCTCTAATTGCTCTCAAATAATAATAAATTGAGTGACTAGATTTTGAATACTATCTAGAATCAAGAAATATATTCTGACATATTACGTATTGCTGACAATTTATTATTGTAATTATTTAGCATATGACCAACGTAATTATTATTATAATCAATTAATTATAATGTCATTCAAAAGCAACCGATATAATTTATCCATAACTAAATTACAACTAAATTACATTTTCCCGGAAATTTTGACAGGAAAAATAATTGTTAATTTCAAGTTTAAAATTAACTGCTGCATGTTATGGTATGAAAATGAGTTAGATCAAGCGAAAGCATATCTGTTAATTTATTAGAAACCTGTCATGGCGTATTTCTGCTGGACATATATTTTTTTATAATGTGAAAGAATTTTGTGAAATCGGTCCAGCAGTTTTCGATACCTTACAAATATGCAGAACAGAAGAGCCGGTTTTGATGCACGCTTTGAGACCTATGGAAAATGTATAAAGCTATTGATAAGTGTATACTGATCTATGTCTAACCCAGTATTACTTGTGCTTTTAAAAAATATAGTTTGAGTAGTACACGTTATTCTTAAGTGAGTGGATTTCTTGCCATTCATCCTACTCAGTTGATTAACCTTAATAAACTAAATACTATTGTATAAAGAATTAGATTATATCACAATTAAGTGTACGAAAACTATATTATTACCTACAAAACACATTGGGTTTATTTTATGAATTAAATGTTTAACTAAAAAGTGTTAATATATCCTAGTATTATACATTTCCACATAATAATAATTATAATTCGGACTGATATTTATATTACTAGAAAAATTAAAATAAACTGCTAATATGTTCATAATGATTTTTATTATGCCCTTGCTGTTGAATCGAAATGGCTTAACGTGGGAACATTTTAAAGGACTAATTACGACGTTTTGAGATAATGAAAAAATGTTTTTGTTTAAGACAGAAAGTATAAACTTGCAAAAATTTTTTGCTTGTAATAATTTAAAAAATAAACCAAGAACTTGTGGTAACAAAAAAGTTATGAATTTAATAACGAAAATTAAGAAGACATTAGAACTATTTTTCAAATCTCTATTTACAACTACGCGTCTGGATGATACAGCCAAGGTCTCAACATCGATTACGACGAAAAAATAATTTAAGGTATTGCCTTGCGATCGCTATATTATGTCTTCAGTTTTTTAATTAGGTCCAAATAAAATTTAGCATTAGCATTAAAGGAAAAAATAAAACTATCGATACATATAATAATAGTTTATTTTGAAAGATTAATAATCCTTGCAACCTCATGAAACATTTTACATTTTGTTGATTTTGCACTGAATACATGTGCGTCAAACAATGTTAATGTTATTACGTTAAATAGCAAAAAAAAAAATAACAAAAGTAATGAATAAACTGACAGATAATCAAAATATTAATTAAGTATATCATTTTCTGTGCGCAATTCATTATTGAAGAACGAGACATGATTATTGATTACAGATATTTATAAATTGCAGTTATTCACATAACACTTTCCTTTTTAATATAAATCACTTTAGGTAAATTCCAAGCTTCATTGATGTCTATGAATATTCAAAAGCACAGATGGAAAAGAAATAAAAAAAATCCTATTGGATAATTTTTCGCTGTTTAAATAGACAATCTTAATGTTCCAATTTTAAAACCATGAATTCTTCAACGACGAATACTATTGTGATGCTTTTTAGTGGGAAAATGTTAAGTTTGGAATTAAATAGCTATAACATCAATTTATAAACATTACGTACTTATATCTAATTTACTAAGTGTTAAACTGCCCTTAATAACTTCAATTTTGAATACAGAGTTAAATTGGTGGTAAATCTCAGACAGAAATGCTATGGAATGTATCAATATTATTATTATGATCATTTGTATGTGTCTGAGTTTGACGGGCACTTATACAATAAGATAAACTAGTTACACTAAGAGGTCAAGGTAGTCAAGCAAAATATTTTTATAGGCTAAAAATAGAATTTCTTTTTTTTGCCTATAAACAACATTTACTGACAGCGTTCTTAATACCTTCTCATATCTACGAGACTTGAGACAAAAACCTCTTACCATTGCTGTGACGCATTGTACAACCCACCCGTAGTAAAAATAATACTCAAAATCGACGTACATTATCAATATTTTTCTATGGAGTTCGCAGCGCTTTATAGCAAATTGTATGGAATTTATGCGTTCAACCTTTCAGAAACCGACATATACGAATATTTGGATAAACTATCGTAAAGTATGTGCTAGGGGTGACCTGTCAATTGTGATTGGTTGGTGACGCGTCGCTTGTGCGGTAAAAGGTGTTTGTCTAAGTTTAGTCACTTATCTAACTCTACAAAACGACTACATTTAAACGAGGGATGAAAGACGTCCTTCACAAAAAGTACAGCTCTTATTATAGAAAAATCGAGGACTAGGAAAACACGAAACCGACATCCCGATAAACTTTCGTTTTCTTGCGAAACCTATGCAAAATTATAAACAGGATATACTTAATAAGGTTTAAGCAATAAATATTATTTGAAGTTGGTTAGGGTTACTTAATATAAGAGTCATACTTTTGCTCGTTCAACCCTCGCAAATTAAAATTCTTTGGTAACTGCCTTCTTTTTCATTTTAATATACAGCTTATCATATTCTATTTCTATTATCTAAAGGATGCAAATATTATACAGTTAACATACTCTCCTTTGGATTAACTACATATTTGTAAGACTTGGCGTGTCCTATGAAATGTACACATTATATTAGTTAAATACTTATTATAGAATATAACTTTAACCTGTCCGATGTGAAACCTTGAAGTTGAATTATGACCAAATGTTTAATTTCTTTTAAGTTAAATGTTCATCTCTTAGAGGTATTTTGGTTTGTATGATGTCTTACTTAATTGCTTAAAATATATACGAGCAAAGGCATTAGCGGCAATACATAAATTGTGATAAAAATTATCATTCAAGTAATAGACTATACAATTATTTGAATTTCGAATAAGTATCGATTACACAAATACTACATGACATGCATACATACATGTCAAAATTAAATATTTACGAAAAAATGCCTAAATATGTTTTCACTAAACCCACCGCTAATACTATTGAAATAGGTCGACTTTTATTCTTATTTATACAATGTGAAACTTTAAATTGTAGTTTCATCTTTATACCATTTACTGGGTTGTGATTACTGTTTTGTTTGTCTATTTGTAGGAACTAGGTGACTCTGATACTTCGAGAGGTTTCTTGATCTTATAACTAATTATTGTTGTAAATTTAATCAGTTTATATCTTAACCAATGTTTATTTATCATATTCATAATCATAACTATAAACCATAAAAAAATATTTTGTACTTCTAAATACCCTTATTAAAAAAAATAATTGTTATCTTCGGGTAAGCAGATTTGTACTTCCAAAAAAATCTTATCTATAAGCAACCTTATATTTAAACTTATATAGACATCTACTACTTATATACACACTACGGTTTTGACTAGATTTCCATTCAATAATCATTTTGTATATGTACAGAACTTATTATGATCCTTAGTACTTAAGTAATTTAGGGTCTTTCGTTAGTGCGATTACTTAAACCTACTTACACTAACAAGTAGATATATGAAATTCAATATAACTTAGATCAAATTTATGAGTTCAAGATGAATATCAAAAGGAGACGATTTCTAGAAATTTGAAGTAAAAAGTTAATTTTTAAAGAGAATTTGAAGAAAGATAAAAAGAAATGATTAATAGAATACTGAAGAAGATAATATAGAATAGAATAATAGAGATATAATTAGATTAACAACAATTACATTTTAAGAGAGATACATAGCAATTACATAGAAAAGAGACAGAATAGGCAATTATAGCCCGAAATGTTAAAGGTTTCGATATGCATGCTATATATTATCACGGCTTTACTTTTGACAACACCTAAGTAATGTATTTGATTTGGTATTATTTACATACATCGCACATTCTGACAATTATTGACACTTATGACACACGTGGCATAGAGGCTAGTCAATACTGATAGTGAGAATGACGGTTGTATGTTCACAAGTACACTTAAGTTGAGCTTAAATTCTTTAAAAAAAGTATGAACGTGGATGTTATATTTCATTTTCAAACACACTGCTCTGTGAATCTCACAGAAATAGTTAGCCCAGGTGTAGTTTACCGCTCATGCAATTTTCATCATCTCATGTAGGATGAGAGAGCGGTATATAAAAAATAAGCATAAAAATTGAATACGACGAAAGTAACAAATTAGTTCAAATATACTCATGCCAATTTTCAAATCTAAGATCTATATGAAAAATGGAGTCATCCTTAATGGTACCGGCGTGATTGACCTACAGGAATTATTACCGAAATTCAATAAGTGTCAGAATATACCATTTGTAGAAATCTGTTATAAACTAGGTATATTCTTGTTAACACTAAGGAAGACACATATCCAGGGTAATATAAAAAAATACACAAAAATAAATAAATCATATAACATTACTAAATATAATGCAATTTTCACCGATTATAACTAGATATATTTTCTATACACATTATATCAACTACTTTACGCCACTCTATCCCGAGTCTAACATACATATAGCTTTGTGAATACGTAGGTTAATTAATATTTATTAGCTAATACATTAACAGAGCGCGATTAAGAGCTTTAGTTAGATTACGAATAAACATTCATTTATAAATCGAAATTAAGTCAATAAATGCTAATGCATCAAAATTTTTGTACAGCGTTCTTGTGCTTTTTCAAGCAGTCCACAGAATATGAAAGTTATTCAGCATATAACATTGTCGTTTCAGTTGATAAACCCTCCAATAGTTCTTAATTATCTTTTTTTATTTATTTTTTTATTTTTTCTTTTAAAAATATCATATTTTTAAAATAACTGAATGAAAAAAAATCATTATATGAACTACTTTACGCCACTATCCCGAGTCTAACATACATATATAGCTTTGTGAATACGTAGGTTAATTAATATTTATTAGTTAATACATTTTACAGTGTCCTGTCCAGTACTTTAATTAGATTACAAATTAAGAAATTAAGTCAGTAAATACTACTCGTAATGCATCAACATTTTTGTACAGCGTTCTTGTGTTTTTTTAAACAGTCCACAGAATATGACAGTTTAACAGTATCCCTCCAATAATACTTTTTTTATTTTATTTTTATTTTATCTTAAAAATATAATATTTTTCAAATAATGGAATAAAAAAGAAACAATATACACTCAATGAAATTTGATTAAATTATTATGAAAGAACGAAATTGAATTCGAAAAACTGATCATTAACCTAACAGAACTCGGTTTTGAATCGAGGTTACCGAATTATATACTATTATTTTATTAACCTTAAAGTATCTACGTTATATTTCTATAACTTTTCTACCATAATGTCAGCGTTACTTGATGTGAATCTAAGCTTCACACTTATTTGATATACACTGAGCGGCGTGTACTGCACCTTATAACAAAGCAGTAAGGTTCAATATACGACTATTCCGTGTTATATCAAATCAGTTTCCGAAGCCCGAATTATTACTAATTTTAATGCTAGGTTTAAAATAAATGGGGTAAAAAGACGTTTTCCTATACATTTTAGTTAGTTCCTCCCATATTTTCCTTAACTAATGCCGTCCATTGGTTTACGCCCATTGTATGGGTATTATATACTTATATGTTATATAATAGTATTACATACTGTTTTTTATTAATTAGAATAACTGATTACATTTTTATAACTGTTCTACTTACATATAACTTAATTATTGTATGTGCGTATATCATTCAATAAGCTAGAATTTATGTAAAGAGTAAGGTTGTAGAGGAGAGGCCTCACACTTTGACTTAGTCTTTATTCCAAAACTATTTGTTTTTATATATTTAGTTAAATATAGTGACGAATATAAAATGAGCTGACCTTGAAGATCGTAATAGCATCATACTGAAAGATTTTATAACGTATTCATAATTAAAGTTACATATCTATTGTTATTTTTCGCTCAGAAACATTCAGCTAAGTCAAAGAGGACTAGAAAAATGAAACAAACTCTAGAACTATAAAATAATTATAAAGTTATTATAAATGTATTTAAACACGTTTAATTATTTGCAGCTAAATATTTAATTTAACGTCGGACGCAAACTTTCCGCCATTTAATTAAGGTTTAAGTGATTATAATTAAATGCGTTTAAATCCGTTAAAACTACTACAAGTACGTGTGTAATTTTACGGATAATTCCCTTTACAAGTCTTTCAATAAGTATTGTCCGTAAAACTATTAGTACTTATTATTTTTCTATTTATATCAATCAAACAGCTTGCTTTTCTTACCACCTAGTTATATTTTTGATTAATTATTAAATTTTTCGAGTATTAAAAATATAGAATTTTCTTATCCTAAGCTACAATGGGGTGGTATTAGGATAATCTGTACATTGATTGAGAACGCCCATTTATAATTTTAATTACGAAATCGTTTGCTCAGCACTTGCCCAGAGTTTTCTTAAACTTATACATTGTGTTAAGTGTAGATCGCCGCATATTTACATATTTAATCTCGTTAAGATTTAAAAAAATAATCGATAATTAGTTTATTAGAATATGGGCTGTGTGAGTAGTTTGTTAAAACCTTAAATTAAACAAAAGCGAGTTAAAATAAACTATATATTACGGTAAAAGTATAACCTAAAAGGCTTTCATAAAGATGATGAAAACATCTTCCCAAATAATTTGTTCCATGAGGTTGCTAGGACTTTTATAGACATCAATAAAATTTTATATCTTATCTAAAGACTGTAAACACTATTAGAAACACTAATTGTGACTCCTTGATATATTTCCATGGATTAATTAATTAGCATTAATTACAATAAAACCAAGCCACGGAAGTATGATTTGTTTCTCTATTTCGCATATAAAACAGAAACAGCCTATATTTCTGGAGAGCTCTACAATTTAGGAAGCATCTTCCCTTTTTCATATAGAAATTAAACCGCCAAATGACTATGTTTTTCACGCGGTGAAAACTAACTTAACCTTAAACTGCCAATAATATATTCAAAATATTTTGTTTCAACAACTCACAAAAATATATCAGGAGTCCGAAAAATACTATAAAAGTTATATTTAGTAGACATGTACATCGAATCCCTTTTTCGCAGCTATAGGTAGACGTTCACCAAATAAATAAGGATTCTCCACCTAAAACATTATTATGAGTATTAGGAATAACGACCCTTATGCTACCGGGTTTGACCTAAATGTAATCAAATTTAGATTAAAATGAATCTAATAATAAAGAAAATTTATATAAGTAGCTAAAATAATAGCAAATTGAGTTTAATAGGCGCAATGACAACCTGGGTATTTACGACGGGCCGCCATTAATTCACCCAGATATTGAATGAATGATTTTAATTGTTGAATTAAATAGGATACACTAACTTCGTTGCTGAATTTCTTCGCGACGAGGTTCTTATGGTCAGGGAAATGAATATCCAGGTCTGATGGCTCGTTGGGGCAGCTGAACATGTGTTCACCATCGCACATGCATCGCTGTGATAGTTGGTATTCACGACTGAAGACTGCCGTGTTCTCAAACTTTTTTATGCAGCCCTGTTCTTCTAAATACAAAATTTACATCGTTTAAATAGCATTCTTTAACTTTAAACTGCCTATGATCAAACAATTACTGGCCTGCTTCGATGAAATTGGGTTAGGTGATTTTTGTGCCTATTAAGCTGAAACATAACCTTTTTACTGTGAAACTGTAGACCTAGGACCGGAGGAGTATTCTCGTTTATAAATACTTTATTTAATCTGACATAAGGCTTTAAAGGTATTGAAGATAACATGATGACATTGTAGAAAACTAGTAATGCGTGTTTATTTAATTAAATATTGGAAAAAAAGGGTTCACGAAAATCTTCTGTTATTTGTCTATACTTAGTACTTACCATTGTAACCAACAGGGCAGGGATTAGGTGGGTTGCAATAAGCGGGCAGCACTGCGTCCGTTTTAATCATTTGGCGATTGACACCTTCACCAGCACCACCAGTTACAAATTGGTGGCCCCAGAGAGAACTATAAAGGATATTAGCGTTTTAAAGATAATATTAATAAAATAGTAATCGTTTTTTTATCATAAATTAAGGACAAGATACACAATATTACCTGTGTTGCAAAAGCTCCTGATCGCGTAGGCTGGGACTAGGGTTGCTATCAATAAGAGAATCGTAGTCAATCTGTTCCTGATCATCATCGTCGTTGGCGTTTAGTAGACTATAGTGACGCTGGCGAGGGGTGTAATCAAGGAAGGAGGTAGCGGCGTCTTTGATGTCCCTCCCCATGCGGTCTACGACCTCATGTAGCCACGCTTCGGTAAGCATGTAGCGGTCCTACATGACAGATGTATTATGTAAGTCTAAATGCATAGATTATACTTTTATGGACTTAAATAAGTGTGGAAAGATTTCCATCTATTTAAAAAAAAGTCACATCAAAATACCCAAACAAATCTGTTGTGTTTTGAGCCTCAGTTAAAAATCTAGTTTAATAGTCTGTGTAACAGATGCATATCTGTGCTAAACTATTATTATTTACAAAAAAATCAAACTTAGAAATTCTAGGTAAATCTCGGGGTAGGTAAATATGCTCATTGCTCAATCTAGATACTGATATTTAAATTTGGAGTATACAGTAGTAACACATGTGCTTACCTCTCCCCCAAAAGAACCAGGGGGGCGGGTTCCCATGGCCCCGACCACGCTTATCAGACACAATATAGCCTTTAGGTGGAGCATCACGGCACTGTAACAATATATTAAGAATTTGAACAATGACGTAAAGGTATGGAGGGAATATAATTCTTAAATATCCGCTACTGATACGAATATGAAAAAAACAAACAATCAAAGTCGCTATCGCTTATAGCACTGCCTTGCGATTCTGTAACTCACTTTTCGAACTCTCACAGCGGTTTTCGCAGCGGCGGTCGCGCTCATATCAGTCGTGAAGCAGTCATTTTACGATTTGGGATTCTGATAAAGAGGGAGCTTGTAGTTTATTGTTTACTGTGAGAGTTCGAAAAGTGAGTTACAGAATCGCAAGGCTGCACGGAACATTGAAACCATAATAATAAGAATCTAGACACACAGGAGTAGTTCATGTATTGACTCAAAATCTTGCCCTACGACTTATCAGTGATACCACTGCACTGAATTTTATAACCGAAATGTCGAACGGGCTTAATCAATAACAAACATTTATGTTTCAGTATATCAATAAACCAGTGGCGGTCCAACCTTTTTAGTTTTAGGCCTCAGATTTCTGTATCGTTTATTTTATAGGCAAGTAGGTGACCAGCTTTCTGTGCCTGACAGACGCCGTCGACTTGGGTCTAAGGCTAGCCGCTTTCCTCACGATGATTTCCTTCACCGTACGAGCGAATGACACACTTAGATAGAGTCCATTCGTGCACAGTCGGGGAACAACCTACTACCTCAGTAATGAGAGTCACCTGCCAAGGCCTCTCTCAAAACTGAATATATTAATAGTTTAAATAAATCTATGAAGTTGTCAACACAATTATTTTTTCAGTAAGAAACGAATGACATCGAAGAGAAAGCAAACATGCAAAAGGAGCTGCGGCTTGCAAAATAGTTTTAAATAAGGGATTGGCATGAGTTATTCGAATTTACAATAATATAACATCGCTCGGCTTTTATGAGATAAATGAGTCATTAGGATTAATTGAAGACAAATGATAACTTATGATCCTTGTTGCCATGGAATCGTTTTGTTAAAGGTAACCGCATACCTATATAAATACCGAGAACCGAGGACTGTAATTATATTTTCATATACTTTATTTTTATTTGAGGAAAACCTGGATATTTGTAGACCAGGACTAAAATTTATAATTAAAATTCGACTGATATCGTTACACATTTCTTGAAACAAATGTAATGCACTAATACAAATAACAGTGTTTCTTATTTTTAGATGATATTCTTGATTAGTGTATTTATATACAAAAGGCACATCGAGCCTATAGATACGAATAGTATGACAGCTTAGTCATCAAAATCTAGGGAAGGAACTATCGCAAACATCTACACAGATTAAAAACATCTGCCGATTTAAACCTCCTTCGACGCGCATCAAATTCAAACTTGGAATATTCGCGGTGGTCTTTACAATGGTATCCATAAAAAATCATCATGCAAATCTATCAAACGAACCGTCCAAACATGACATAACAATATTGTTTTTATTTGTACAAAAAATTAACCTATTGTATTTTGACGTGTAGGTTGTGCGATTTAGATGCTATCAAAAGATTCGTTTCCTTCGGCGTCCTTTGATATTATTATTACTTTAATTGAATCGTACTTTTAATTGGGACACGTTTTAGTTTTGACATATTATGACACTAGTACTATTTTGGTAAACTGTGTTATGTCAGAGAGTAAGAATCTTTGGCCCTGTTTGCGACGACGGTGTTTGGCGTTTGGTTTGGATCAATTCATAAATTGCAACAGGCTCAAGTGGTTGGGACTTCTACACCGAATGTCGGACGACAGAACCCATCCTTCCTCCCCTCCTCCTCCGGTCCTTAATGAACTCACAACCCAGTGGCAAGAAAAAAACCCCTTAGACCGAGGCTGCGTTGGTGGGACGGAGTTGTCGAAGGACCTCGGAACAATAGGAGTTCGCAGTTGGACGCGGGAAGCACTGAATAGATTGCGATGGCATACTTGAGGAGTCTAAGGCTCAAAAGGTGATGTATAGCCATTGATAATGATGTTGTTATGTCTATACTGGCGTATGCGATATATAAATGAAAATGAAATAGAAGTCGAATACCTATGTATCGAAATGGAAAAGTAACGAGAGATATTTGTATTGACAACTCACTGTCGGCCGATGGGTATATTTGGAACTAAATAGATCCACGAACATTATATTATATTACATAGAATGAAATAATTTAACCTATAAAAATATTATACTTTCAAGCTATCATAAACTTATAATTAATGTATCTGCTATACTAATATGTATAATAAATAGGGACAATTTTTGAGGTTGCCCCACCACCTAATAATTCACGTATCGGTTAGGGCTAATCAAGATAGGCACTACTTTCAGTAATGAAGACTACGAAGAAGATATAACGCAAAATCTTTTTCTTGGTATTTTAATTATGTCGGTAAAAACTGTTTTACTGACTTTTGGATAATAGTTGTACAGCTTTATAATGACTAGAAAAACCTCAGCAACAGCAGAATATGTTTTACTTTTATATTATATAAAAAATTGCCAAATTCAATTAGTGCACGGAATTTATTATGGTTTACACCAATATTTAGAATGATTCATGAGGAAAGTTTTGTATATAGTTTTGACGTAGACGGATTACGTATGCTCGTGCGAAGTTAGAATATATTATACGAAATTTGACGAAAATACTATACTAAGGCCTTGGTCATACAATATCTGCAAGTATATGTAACGAAATTAATCCATCACTAATTAAGGCGAGTAAAACTAAGATACCTTTTCATGTTAAAAGATTGAACTTTTTTACTATATATCCACATTTCCGACAAATTCATTCATTGACAGAGTTCACATTGTTTACTATAAAAAGGTTTCTAAATGATATCTCGTAAGTTAATTTTTATATCTTTGTTTCCTATAGAATTGGTGTTAAGTTGTAATGAGAAGGTAAATACAATTTTATTAAAAATAAAACTGTTTCAATCCCTTTACTAGATATCCCAACCCTGTCACTTGGTGGACTTGTACATGCTCAGAACTGGTGGGTAGAATTACAAAAGAGAACTGGCACCGTTCGCTTGTTTCTGATTTGCTGCAATCGGTCATCACAATTATCACATTGCTATGATACAAATTTAATTTTAAACAATGTCATTTTTAGTTTAAATTGCCTTATATATACAAAATGTATATCCCGTCTCGTCATCAGAAAACCGATCAATAATTTTTCTACGTCAGAGACATATTTTAAAAATGTCTTCAAACAAAATTATATTAAAAAATACTTCGCGGTGAAACTTTATCACGGTAAACAAATATATTGTCATTACGTAGGTGCCTGTATGGTGGTTGGTGACCTCATAGTTCATACTACGCGTACAATAATTAATTAGTGAAGCAAATTGAAATTATGGCACGGTATATAAACAATAATTATACCATGTGTAATGTTTATGAATAAAGTGAAATACCATACAATTTTACATTTTGTTCCTCTTGGTTATGTAGGGTAAAAGCCGGATAGTTGCCTCGGACGGATACATGCCCCGGTGTTTAAAAAACTATGTTAGGATTATAAGTTGTATTGGCGCTTTACTACAATAAGTAGTGACTGCCCCTCAGGCCTAAATGCCACGTAAGCCATCGGAATAGGCCCAAGTGTTTTGTCCGTGTGAGCAAAAATCTTCCGCGGCGAAACTTTGACAGCGTTATAATTATATTGGTAAGTAATTTCTATTGAATATTTTTATTACTGATCGTGGTTTCAGTCAACTTTTTGTTTCTTTGCATGCATTAGAGTTTAAATTACACTGTTTATCATGTTTTATTGCTAAATAATTTTTATTTATTTCGCAAATAAAAAGGGCAAGTATCCGCATCAAAAAGGATAGTTGCCCTACTTATTGTCGCGGATAGTTGCCCCTAGAGTGACTAAAAATTTCTTAACAAGCAAAGACGGATTTTAATTTTTTTTGCTGTTTTTTTGATGTTTATTCGAATTTACTTTGTCTCTAACTTGTTGTAAATTAATAAATATCTACTTCACAGTTTTATATATTTATTATAGATAAGCAAAAGCCTCATCAACATCAACTGGACAGAAGATAGCTTAGCACTTGCCTTCGAAAAATTGAGACAAAGTTGGGATTAAAGCACAACTTTATTAATGAGAGTAAAATGGCTGGACCTCAATGGCTAAAAAGCTTTCTTGAAAGAAATCCTGATATAACTTTGAGACAAGCTGAGGGTTTATCAATTGAAAGAGCGTAGGGTCTCAACAGAACAGAAGTTGCAAATTTTTTCAAACTCTTAACAAGTATTTTAACTGAGAATAATTTGCTGGATAAGTCAGATAAAATATTTAACATGGATGAAAGCGGTGTCCAACTCAATAATAAAATTGGTAAAGTATTAGCTAAGAAAGAGGAGAAAAAATTACTGTTGTTTCTTAATATTTCAAATTGTACTTAATAAAAGATCTCAGTAAATTGAAAAGACTGTTAAATAAATAATAAAGATTACTCTATTTGATATAAATTTCTTTCTATCCAAAATAAAAACGCACGAGGCAAGTATCCCCCCGAAGCATTTTCTACGCTAGGCTACTATCCGCCATAGTAGGCAACTATCCCTTTTCTGAGAGGTGAAATAAAACGGTATTTATTCAAAACCATTGTTAATTATGTATACAAAAATAGGCTTTTATAGAAGATAAAAGACCTATGTTGCGAGATACATACTGAATAATTTTCAGCAAGTTCATATTTAAAAAATATAAAGCTTTTTCGAAAAGTGGGGCAACTATCTGGCTTTTCCCCTAGAGTGTCAATTATGTAATGGTTGTGTGTTAAACATTTTTCACACGACAGTCGTTATGTTTTATGAAAGAACGGATAGAATCGTATGTAGGGTATAGAGAAAGATAGTTTCAATGGGAATTAAAGTTAATATTTGTAAAATTGTAATGTTGTGATATAGTTATATTGTGTTTAAATGTTAATTTTAAATTATTTTGTTG